AGCGCACTATCTACGGGCTGACAAGTTCGGGAAAAACCGGTTTGGTCCTAAATTTTGAAATAGAGCTCAAGATGTGGGGCAGACTTGGGTGACATAGTTGGCAGCCATTCTGGATTTTTACCAAGTCTTCAAAAAATGCTTTTTGAAGATTCAAATGAAAACTAATGTGGCACAGGTAGATACAAACATTGGTGCCTCATTGAATCTACAGTCATGGCAAACGATAAGGCGTGTGACGCGGAGTGGATTGGACTGCAGCCAGGGTGACTTTTTCTACCAATCATAACATCCTCAGTCCGCAACAATTGGCGAGAAATGCTGTTCCGGCCGTGCTAGGAGTGACACCCCTTCACAGCTCCCATCGTTTGCAGGGATCATGACTATACGCCCTAGAAGTCGCGGAGAACGCCATAGAACAATAACTGAATCCGGCACTGATAAGATGGGAGGGGGACGGAACATTGAAAAGATGGGTTGTGCAAAAATTTAATCACTGCAACAAAAATGCCTAGCTTTTGCCTGGGCTCAAGGGGGGGGAGAACTGTGGCGGTGGATGATCCAATTTCAAGTGTGACAATTTTGTTGGGATAACGATGATTCCAGCTTTTTCACACAAACATTTTCAGCCCTTCTCCAAGACTATTAGCGCTTTGATTCTTTTACGTGCCGCATCCCAAAAATCCCAGAATAAGTAGAACAGTGAAGGTGATATCCGCCTTTGATCAATCATACCCATTTAGCTTATCCATCTCCGCCCCTAATTAATCGTGTAGTAAGCCTCCAATTACGTGGTCCGTTTTTCGATAAATCAATATTGTTTTCCTATTCTTAGCACCTTATCCATGCTTATCCAAACTTATTTACTAATGAAAAAACGCTTCAACTCCATTCCGTGGGTGCAAACCATTCATTCTGCTTGCCATTCAACTCAATGGGCCGGTCGATGTCTGACTCCGACGATGAAGCTGCACGAGAACCTCCGCAGAAAGTCGATGAGATTTTAGAGAATAAATTCGTCTATCATTGTGAGTTGATATTCTTTGCTGATGGCGCTGATATTGTACAGGCAGGTGGTCCAGTATGTTATCACAATCCATAACCAGAAAATGGGGAGGGCGTGGCTCCGTACTTCATTTGAAAATGGTGAAGGGTGCGTTCTTGTGGGGATGTTTCTATTTAAGACAATCACCACCTTGCGCGTGCTGAACAGAGACATTACTATGCTTCTCTCGTAAAAGCAACATTCCAACAAAAGTGCAGCAGCCGCTACTTTGGCATGAAGTACGCAGCCACGCCCTCTACATCTAGGAGATATGAAAAGCACCTGTAAAAGAGAAAGCTGAATGGTGCAGTACATTCTTACCTTTCATTGGCATGGTATTGTGTGGCATTTCGTCTCCTCATACTTGAGCGGTGACGGACCTGTGCTACACCAGCGCTAAAACCACCGCCGAAAATACTGTCTCACTAATTTTCCGCTTTGCCCATTTTCGTGGAGTCACTTTCTGTTCTTTAGTACAGTAACAGGGGAGTGACAGCTTACACACGTTTAGACGATGAGCACGAAGGTCAGGGTAGAGCTGATAAATTCGCAGCCAGTCGGAGAGGTCCCGTAGGGTATAATGAGCCCACCCACCACATTTTCATCACTGGTTGTATTCTTCCGCAATTGATCACTAACCAATCACCGCTGGCTAAGCAAGGTAGCCAAATTCGGTTACGGGGCACTTGTCAACCAGACGTGCTCTCGCTGCGAGGGTCCAGGGTATTTTCTCGAGGCATCTACCAGTCCAGTAGTTGAAGGGAGAAGGTAAAGGAGGAGGGATCAGAGAAGGAGGAAGGAAAAGAAGGAAGGAGGAAGAAAAAAGGAAAGAGAAGGAGGCTTCCCGGTTGACAAGTGCCCTGAGACACCGACGGGCTCACTCAACCCCTCCTGACACCGCCCTGACTGATTGCGACTTTATCATATACTTCCTAGCTAGTTGTCTTGAACCTTCCCAACAATTCGACACTAAACT